GGCAGTTCACTGCAGTCACCTGCTTGTTGGTTTTGCTTGATAATAATTTCCTTAGATACATCGTTACTTATTTCCATTCAATATTTTAAGTTGGGAGATCAGAAGCAGAGTTGAATGCCAGATTTTTTTACCAGTAATTAGGAAAAGATATAGAAAAAAAGAAAACTCAAGTTGATCTCACATAAGCTGTAGGATGTAAGATAGACAGTGTGACCCTAAAGTAAGAAGTGGTTTTTGTTTTCTTTATTTTTTTTTTTAAAGAAAGCTTACCAGCACAAGTTGCCATTTCAGGCTGTATTATTTTTGATGCCGCCAGATGAGTTTTTTTCCAGATTATTCAGAGATGCTGAGTTCTATGTAGCCTACAGAAAATCAGGATTTTAAGAGAAAGTTACTAATCTGATCACCCAGTCATTCACTCCAGAAGGCAGGTAATGATGGACATATTCAGTGTGTATTTGTGGTGATTCACTTTGTAATTATAGCCTCCTTAGACTGGAATAATTTTTTTACCTGCAGCTTTTTCTCACCTTTGCTTCTTTCACCTACTCTGTATACAATTTTAACTGACATAGGACATAATTCTTGAATAAAAGCCCTTTTAAAACCTTTCTCTTGAAAACCAGCTTCCTTTAGGTTTGCATATTGTTCTATTGCCTAAAACATTATGGGCAAGGGTCAATGTGAGTTGTTTGCCATTGCTGTGCAGCTTTCTGAGTCATGATTTTCTAGGCTCAAATGACTGTTCCTTCAGCAGATCTGTTTCTGTAATGCATTTTTTTAGATTTTAACCCCGTTGAGTTAAAGTCATGATTTCAACAGTTCATTCTATGTTTTTCTAACAGGGGACTTCCAAATATTCACACATGTACAAGCTGTGCTACAAGGTGTTCCTTTTGGAGAAAAACACATATATGTCTCAGGAAGAGAAAAATTTTAATCTTCGTGGACCTAGTCGTGAACCTGGATATGGCAGTCAGACTGAGTTCAGTGAGTCTGAGCTGAGCTCTGCCAATCAGTTTTTAAAATTGAGACACAAAGGAATGAAAGGTATCTTCACTGGGAACGATGTGTGGATGATCCCACGTGACATCTTCCAGGTTTTTCCAGCCACCTCCACCTGGCCACTATTTCACCCTGTGCACTGACACCACAGCTGTTCTTGGTGAGCTCTGTTGTGTGGGGAACCTGAAAAGTGCAATGGTTTGGCCTTTTCTGATCTCTTACGATTCGCTTCACCTGCCTCTTCTTTATTATTAATCTGAAATGCTCAGTAGAGCTGAGGACTTCAGTATGTTTACCAGGGTAAATTTGATCCAAAATGCTGCCCTGCTGTGTGATAGGAAATATATTGAAGGTGGCTAATATTCTGTTCCAGATAGCTCACAGTTCCCTCTGATTTATGTGTGGAGATTTTAAACTATCCAATGAAACATTTCTCCCACTCACTCATGGCTTCTGCTGATCTTTCAGAGTCAGTTCCCCGAATTCTTCTGTCCTTACTTACATCTGAGCTGGGCAGCATAAAACACATAAACTTCTGTTGTTGATGCTTATAATTACCTTACAGGAGAAAGAGAATTTTATGTGTATTCTCCAGGATTCCTTAAAATGTGCTGATCAGCAGATATGCATGCCTGTAAGCCAGCTCAGTAGAACAATTGTGAAATAAAAACACAGTAGTACACAAAGCAGACTTATTGTAGGTCTGGGGATTTAGAGTTTTCAAAAGCCTCTAGAGAATTTTGGAAAACTAATCCTTTAGAGAGTCAAAAAGATTTGTATGGTTAAATCCTTCAGCCATTTTGGAAAAACTTCTCATTAATGAATAAATACAGAGAAAATCAGTGTATTCACTTCCCAAAGAAAGAAAAAAAATCCAGGAAATACATAGATTTCAGATGACAACAGGAAAAACAACCTGAAAAAACTATAGATGATATAAGAAAAGAAAAGATACCCCAAAGTTAATTTTAAAATTTGTTTTACAAGACATATTTTTGGTGTTTGGATTTTTTTTTAAGCATATTTATCCTAACCGATGCCTAAATCTGGACTGAACCTGAGTGTAACTGCTGTGACTTCAGGGGTTCAAATTTTTCTCCTGAAGTTCTAGGGAAATAGACTTGGAGCTGGCTGGAGTATGTAATTCTCCATTATCCCACAGTGGATGTTGCCTTTCATCTGAATACTCTGTAACACTGTGTTGTATTCAGCACAACCACATAAATCGCTTGCTCGGGAAGCTGATGCTTGCAGAGCCTGGCTCTTGCCTGCAATCTGTTAAGCAGAGCCTCACTCAGATCATTTGCAGTCTGATCCAGCTGTACCTTATATCCAAGAGTGGAGGATGGAGCCCTGTAGTCAGATCATAGTTGCACCAGCTCTGCTTCTCAGAGGTTCCTTCTGTCGAGGTTCTGCTTCTTTTGCTGTGCTCAGTGCTGGAGAACTGGTGTGCTCATCACTCCAGGTGCTAATGGTCAGCCCTCCTTTTATGTTGCTGCCACAGTGCTAGGAATTCTTGCACAGCTCAGATGGTGAAGCCAAAAGAACTTTATGTATATGTTCTTTGAGCATTTTTAAAAGAAAACATCTGTTTTTATTGTTTGTATTCCAAGAAAGCTCTGAGGAAAACCCAAGATGTATCTTAGCCTCTCTTTCCGTGCTTTCCAAACATGTGCAATGAAATTGCTTTGTATGTTTAAATTGTGTCTCAAATACAAGGGGTTTAATTTAATTTTAAATAAAGGTCAAGTTTTCTAATGGATAAGGATGTAAGAGAAGAAAACCCAGAGAACAGGGTACCTTCCCAAGCTTTTACTCTTGAGGAAGCTATTTACCACCTCTTTTGAATTTTAAGACAGGATACCTGGCTGTAAAATGTGAAATAAAATAGGATAACTGCTGTCAGAATCCAGTAGTAATTGAAAGAAAGGAAATCTTTGAGAAAAAAAAAATACGAAAGGAAAAGGAAAAGGCACTTTTAACTCTTAAAACAGGGGAGTTACAATAAAGCATGAAGTTCTTTAAGACAAGTTGCAGTTACATCAACCTGGAGCTGAGATGTTCTGAGGCCTGGAGTTTGTAAAAGGTCTCTAGGAATTGCAGGCAACAAGAAGAATGGAGAAAAAACCCAAAGATATAAATGCATCACATCACCTATCTGAGGGCTGAAGCTGAGAAAAGAATGGTTTAAATGAGAGGCACATGTTAGGACTGCAGAAGGATGTTTCAGTCTCTAGCTCAAAGGCTCATTGCACTCTGAGTGGGGGAGTGAAGGACCAGAGGGAGGTTGTGGTGTTTGAGAGATTGGAAATGAACTTTTAGATAGTGAGGGAACAACAGGAACAGAAATAGTCAGTTGGGAATTGATAGTGTGTGTTTTTAAGGTCTACAAGCATCCCTTGTGACTAGAAGAAAGAATATAGTAGTTTCTGTGCTAAATCAGAATAGATAGAATTGGCAGTTTGGGAAAAAAGGTAAATGGTCAGTAATGAAAGCCACAAGACTGAGCCACTTGAGTGTCACAGAAGTGTCTCTGTATCTGCTCCACAATCTTCATTCTGTCTGAATATTCACTCTGCAATTAAAAGTTTCTTTAGGACCTGCACAGCTCTAAGTCTGTAAGGTCCCACTTTCCTGTACTGAGACACCACAAGCAAAGAGACCAAGGGAATTCACTTGTTTTTACATTGCTGGGTACAGATATGGTTACAGAGCAAAATTCTACATGTGGCTGCCTAACTCCGTTGTAGGACAAATTTAGAATACAGCTTTTCACTGAGGAGATGGAGAACTTTGAATTTGTGAGAGGAAGAGGCTTAAAAATGTGTTCTGGACAATTAATTTGGTGCCTCCGTACCCTGAAAGGAGCTGTTTATCTGTGTGATAGAGACAGCAGAGGCATTACCAGTACAAAGTACCCTCCTGCATACACCAGTGCGCCTCTGCATGACTGTGCAAGTGAGTGAGAGCCTTTCTGGAGGCATGAGAGCTGAGAGTTTCCAGTTCCCTCTGCCACTGGCAGCGTCTGAGGCTGACAGAATGTTGCCAGCTAATGCCATCTGATAGTCTGGAGAGGCTCTTCAGATCAGGCACCCTACAGCCAAATAAAGGGACTGCTTTATTTTCACAGTAGTAGCTCTCAATGTATTTTCATTCATGCAGAGGGGGTAAAACTACATTAGTTATGCAAAAGAAAAAAGGGGCAAGGAGTTATTTATCTAAAATTCAAATGGAGGATTATCTGCATTACCATCTGATAATGGAGGCACACGGAATTAAAGACAATGGTACGTGCCTGTGTATGTCAGACCTTTGACTGTCTAATCCTGCCCAGTTGCTGCAGTCAGGATCACAGAGATTATTTTTGTGAGCTATTGCTCAGCAAAAGCAAAACAGATCAACCATAGTTTGTAGAATTAGATCAGCCCTGTCCTGAGGCAGCCAGTACAAAACACAAAGCTTTTGACAAAAATAGAGAGAAATATAACCAGCCTGTCCTCCTTAAATCTAAGTGAGGAAAATGCATCTGGTGTAGCCATAAAATCAGAAATGACTTGTTTTAGAAGGAAGGCAAGCATCAATTTGTCATTCTGTAGCTGTGTTTTTGCAGTGTAGAATTGCTGTAGGGATCAGAGCAGTTAGCAGTAGAGAAAGACTATTAAATGAGTCCACTCCCCTGCATTCATGGATGTAATCCCTTGATGCAAATGCATGGTTTATTAAGGTTGCAGTGTACTGGCTGTGGGAGTCAGGCTTCTAATAACATCATCCCTGGAGCTCTGGGGGAATAATGCTGCTTCTCTTTAGAGGTGAGCTGTGGGTGGTTGTGTGCCAATGCTGTACTCTGGTAAAAGAGAACTCTCTTTGCTGCTAAGAAAGGCCATTTGAAAGGAACTATGAATGTTCAGGCTAGCTGTAGGCATTAAGTGCTTTTCAGATATGTTCACTTAAGACAAGCTTAAATTCTCACAGCAAAATGTTGAATTTCAGATTCCATTCTAGTAAAATTCAGTCTGGAGGGGAAAGTTCTGTTGGATGATGTAGGAAGTCTGAAGGAGAAGAAGAGAAGATTTAAAAACTCTGGTGCTGGTGGAATCTCTATCAACTAGCTAAATAAAAGACCAAAGGAAGAGTTCTGGCAAACCAGACTGCATGCAGGGAAGAAACTTAGAGAACCAGGTAGCTTTGTATTTATTACAGATCATGTTTCAGTGAAGACTTTTGTCAAGTTCTCTGTCCTCCTTTCTTCTCTGTGGGATGCAGTGACCAACAGCAGAGTTAGAAACACAGCCATGTCCTACAGATGTCTGTGGTTGTGTCTGGGCCAGAATTTTCTTCCTGCTCCTCCTACTCCAGGCTTTTGCAGCTGCTGTGACTCCCATCCACGCTAAAGACACAATGGTAGGAGCACCAGGATCCATAAGCTGCTGTGTTTGTGTAATGCAATGCACACTGAGAGCCTGAGCTCTGAAACCCAGAGACAGCACTATTGCATCAATGTCTAACTAGCATCACAAGAGTGAGCTTGCACTACACACCACATTTTTAACTCTTGTGGTAACAAAAACATTAATTTTTGTTATCACAAGAGACTCAGTTCATCATCATAAAAGTAATTCATCCTTCACTTACCTGCCAGATCCTTGGGCCTGCTTCACCTTTTTTCTGTTGTAGGAGATGATGTCTTTGCAAAGGCAAATGAAATGCAGCTGAGAATGTAATTTTGTTCACTATCTGTTACTTTACAAGCTCAGTGTAGCATAGGACAATACAGAAGAGAAGCACTGAAATTTGGATTATTGGTTTTCCCTGTATTTTTTGTTGAGGTTTCTGAAAGTTGTACTTCAAGTTTCAATTTGACTTGCTGCCAGGATCCATAAACCAGGGAAGAAAGCCCCAACACTCAGAAAACAGTTCCTAGTGAAGATGCTGAATTGGTTATTCAAAAATCAAGGCACTTAATTTTTTAAAATACCATTTTTTAAAATATCAGTCTTACTATAAAGCCTACTGCTAATTGTTCACCAATGTACAAATACACAGTGTTAGACATTTTGTCTCTGAGATAGTATCACTGAAAAGCTTTGATGTTCACCTTTTAGAAAACTACTTACAGCCATTTTCCCCCTTCCTAAAATAAATGTGAGAGGAAACATCAAATTAATCATAGGTACAAAGACTGCTTGTAGTGAGGTAGCTCATTAAGCTTCATTTTCCTGAGCTCCACATTTCTTTCAGAATTTTAATCTCCATAGTTTGTTGGTTTTTTTTTTTTGTGTGTTGGAGTGTGTGTAGTATTCTGCAACAATGGAATGCTTTGCTGGGTCATTTATCATCCTTTGCCTTGAAGGAAGGTCTATACAATTACTTTTGTGTTTGTATTACACTCTGAAGTTTTATGATCCAGAATTTGTGCAGTGGAAGATGCACACTAGAAAAGGTGCATCCTTGCTTCTGAAAGCCCTTCCTTGGAAGTTATGTAATTACATCCCTTTCCATGAAATAAACTGTTTATTTTCACAGTGCTGCTCTTGGGCTTACAGCAAGCTGCAGGTGCAGGTTGGTGTCTTCCTGTGTTTGTGCACCCCCTGCCATGACCCAGCTGCAAGTGGCCACCCTTCTGCAGCCCCATGACAGCTCCAGTGACTTCAGCCCTTGCAGCTGCCTGCTGGGAAGGATCCTGTGGTTCAGTGACTTTGTCTTGGGAGCCACTGAACTTCGCTCAGTTCTGAAGGTTCCCACATCCCATTTATTCCTCAGCTCTGGATTTTAACTAATGAGGGAAGAGGAGACGTGGAAGGGAGCCTTTGTTGGCACTAAGGGTGGACCATATGCCAAAATTTGGTAAACTGGTGTGAAAGGCAGTGATCAAGTCCAAATAGAGTCACTGTGGTGAACAAAAGCAGCTTTATTGTTTCATTAGTTGGAAATTCACACAAAATCTTTTGGATTTTTGGGTTAATTTTAAAATTGCTCTATCTCAGTTTTTCAAGTTTGATTACTTAGGTTTTGTGAGAGTAAAATTACTTTTTTTATTACTTACTTTATTACTTACTTTGGCAGTGGGATAATTGAACTGCACACACCAAATATTATTGAATCATTGCAATAGCTATAATGGCTTTGGTGGAGTTTTTTCTTCCCTATTTCAGAGTGCAATATTCCTCTCGTAATTTCTTGGCACTATGTGTGGTTCAGGAGATGTTTATCTATAGCTCTCCTGTCAGTTAATCCCTCTCCCTAGTCTAGCTGATAAGTTTTACTCTGGTGGAAATTGTGATGATACATTTTATTCTTCCATTTCTGCTAAAAAATGTATGTTATTTATGCTCACAAAAAGGCACTTACCAATATGGATACACTCTACAGCTCTTGGAACAGCTCACACACTGCTACTGCAATACCAAATGGAGCCTGCATTCATACAGGCTATTCTAGCTGTTGTTAAGCAGAAGAAGGAGATTATTATGTTCTGTTTGAAGAAAACATTGTTTAAATTGGAAAACTTTCAGTATGTCCCTGTGTTAATGAATTTATCCAGTCTGAATTTTAGTTATGGCTTCTTTGATGTACCTTCATGTAAGGCTTCTTCCACAGTACCTGTGAAGCAATCCCATTCAGTATCTCAGACATGAACACAGACAGGAACTTCCTGACAGAGTGACTGACTTCTGCTGGTAAACTTTGAAAAGTATATTGTTGAGCTGCAATTCTCCAGACACTGTTATTTTACTTTTTCTCCCCTCACTTTGTTTTTTTTTAGTTGTCAAATAGATTTTCAGGGTGATGAGATTCATTGTTTCAGAATTCAGAGGCTCCTGTTTTTTCAGAACCACTGAGGTTGGTATGGCACAAGAATGTGGTTTCAGGTGAGGAGAATAAGCAGCAGGAAGAAATTTCAAGTAATTATACAGGTTTCATATTAGCTACCATAATAATAAAACAAAAACCTCTGAGTCTCAGCAAAGAGACAAAATTGTTTCTAAACTGAGAATAGCTCAAATTTTGCATAGCATGTCAGGTGCTCTCTTGGACTCTGGTCATTTGACAACCAGATTATGAACTTGTAGAAAAGTAAAGTTTGTTTTAGTAGTGTGTATTTCATGCTTTTACTGAGCTTTTTATTCTATACTGCATGTAAGAGAGACATAGATTTTTTGCAATATAGTAACAGATGACAACTCCAGTCCAATAATTTTAACAAAATCTGTTACCCGAGGTAAGTGTTTTATATGTCTGTGGGAGCAGCTGTAATAATTACTTAGTTGTTTACCTTGATGTAGTGCAGAAAAGAGGGAAGGCCAAATTATAGCAGATGTGGAAGCTTTAATTACAAGGAAATCAAACAAGGGCTTCAATTTTTGGTTTAAGATGCTGCCAAAGTTTTCTGCAGAGGCTCTGCTGAGTCAGTCATGTTTCAGAGGAAGTCTTGTGCTGTCCTTGCACGCATTACATTTTGTCTGAACAGAACATGCTTTTCTGGCAAGACTCTCCTTCCCCCTGTCCTTAATGATTTCAAGAAGAGCAATGGAAGCTTTGCTTTGAGGCCTCATTTAGCTCAGCACCTTCTCTGTCCAATTAGCAAATATTCTGTGTCACTGATTTTAAGAATTAGCGTGACAGTAGTTCTCTAACTAATTACAGCCTAGTGTCTCCATCTTGAAGAATATTAATTTCCAGTTATCAGGATATATTATATGGAAATGCTAACAAGAAGAATTAGCTTGAATTCTGATGCAACTGCTCTTTAAATGAGGACCAAGTGTTGCAGGTCTTGTCCTACTGTTCCCATCTTATCACTGACATTGATATATTCATGTTGCTTAAACTGAATCGCTGCATGTGCACCTTAAATGCACATTGTGCATCAGGGTTCTTGAGTGGGTTCCTTAGTGTGGGTTTGGGTACATACACATAATTAGAGCAGCTGGAAGCCTTTGTTTGCAGGTTAAGGAATTCACCTGGATCCCAAATCAAGCCTCCAAGCACCTCTGTCCCATTCAGGGGTTGATTTACTCTGCTTGGTGTCTCAGTTTCCCTCTGCAGGATGAGGGTAGAATAAATCCACCTGTAAGATGTGAGAAGTGCAAGGGCAGTAAATGCTTCAGCAGACAGGAGCAGTGATCCTGATTTCACAGCCCCCCTAATTACACTGTGAGGACTCAGCCTTTTTTTTTTTTTTGATGTAGCAGCATGTGATGGTGGATGCCATTGATTTAGTAATCCCACCTGTAGTATAAGCTCTTCATTTCTGGTGCTTTCATCCCTACCATTCCACTGACACAGGATGGTGTTCTGTGTTTAACTGTAGCAATATGAATCTCATAAGCTTGCAGTTAAGATAAAAATTATTGTCTTTCTAGAACAGATGAAATGTCTTGGGTACTGGGGGCAAGAAAACTTGTATCATAACTTTATTTTATTCCTTAATAAGGAGAAAGCGAAATCGAATGATCTCAGGGCTGAGCTCCCTTAAAGCTTATGAGACTACTGCATTTGAAACAGAAAAAATGTTTTATTTTTGTTTATTCTTGCTTTCCAATTTTGTTCAAGCATTTTAAGAACTAGGAAGTGTTTATTTAAGTACTCAGTATCTTCACTTTACATTTCAGAATATATGTCTTCCTGGTTTTGGGTTTTTAGGGTTTTTTTCCCCTGGTTTACACAGGTCATCTGCAAAAAGTGTGATTAAATTATTCATCTGAGAATGATCCTCCTTCATGTATTGGTGCCTTTTCTTTCCCTGTAAATATGGACTTATTAATTTATTTGTGCTACCTTTTCATCCTATACCCACAGCTGCTTTAATTTCTTAAAGTTGCTTTATAGTCACACCTTTGTCTACCTGAGTGCATTTACACCTTCAATGGTGAACTCACCCACTAAATTAACTCCATACAAAAACCTCAAATAAGCTACAGGTGACAATTTCTGGTTTCAAATATATTTAAACAAACAAACCAACATACCTACTGAACTGCTTGCTTTCCTGCAGAGAGCAATGTGGCTTGAAAAGTAATGTGTGTTTTACTGTTTCTACTCTGCAGAGCACATGTGGGATACAGGCAGAATCTGAGGTACACTGAACATATTCACAGCTCTCTGTGCAAAGGAAGTGTGCCATCAGCCTGTTCATCATCATGTCATCAGGTTCTCCTCTATGCTCACAGCTGATTCCAATGGATAGTAAGTGCTGGCTTCAAAGCTGACTTCTCAATCACAAAAATACTGCTGTCCTTGCATCTAATTGTTCTCACATAATGCAGGCTCCCTCCTCCCAGAACTCAATTTCACTGCCACTGAACCAGTGATAAAACCTGAGCACTGACAGATGAACAACTGGTGTTCTTGAAGGTAAACAAAGAACCTTATCACTTGGCTGCTGCAGATTGTGACAGGGAGATGAGGGCCGGGTAGTGAAGATTCAAGATGAGAAATTGCAACAAAGGGGGAAACGTAAGTCTCTATACTGATAATGAAACTACTTAATAGTTCTGATTTACACAGGACTTTGAGCTAGTAATCTCCCAAAATTATCACATTTATTTACACTTCCTAACTGCTTAAGCAACACAAGAACTAACACTGTTTTTCATTTTTACCTTATATTAGCTTGGATATTTTTACCTAAGGGATATAACTGCAGAGAATTTGACAAGGATAGACAAGAATTCTAGCTTATACTGTATGAAGGGCTTGTATTTAATGCTCCCAGCTATCTCCTTTGCTCAGCAGGTCACAGGTGTTAAAACTGGAGCATTTGAATGCAAGCTACTTTGCTTTCTAATGAGGTTGGCCTATCCTTTGTCTCTCGGTTTTTGTTCATAATTTCTCCAGTCCTAGAGAATATATAATATTGATGGTCAGATCTGAGGCACTGGCAGTGCTAGCTATGATATTAGGTATTTTTTCTGATTACCAGTATGCCGTGGTTTAGCCTGTCCAGGTACTTGTGTTTGTGCTCTCCACAGAGCTAATTGTGTTTCTTGAAAATTCACTCCTGTGCAACTCAGTTTGTAGTTTTATATTTGCCTAATAGGACTCCTCATTTCTCTCAAATACAAAATCTGTGCTCAGCTGCTGCTTAATCCCGTTCCTGTTTGTGTTTTGGTGCCATTTGCAGCTCTGAGGAAAAAAAGATAAGAGTAAGTGTGAATCCCTCCTGAGTGCACTGGGGGCTCAAAAATCTGTGTAGCTGGTAAAGTGCTCTCGAATAGTTACTGCTACAGGATTGATATCCTGCCCAGTGCCAGGGAATAGAGATCACAGCTGTCACCTGGTAGGGCTGCCACTCCCTAGGGAACCTGCAGTGAGTAACTCCATTAAAGAATTGTACCATGTCTACTAGATTTTACATTATGAAGCTATTTATCATGAAGAGCATTATTTCTTGGCCAAGGAAGGATAAATTAAATGATGCATATCCAGAGCTTAGAAATTTCTCTGTGAAATTGAAAAAAGGCAGAGATATTTCTCATGAGGGAAAGGGAAGAGTTTTAATCGCATTCACAGCTATCACTTAAGGAATGTGAGTTGTTGCTAAGATGCTCATAGGTAAGATAACAAACTGCATCCCCATGTTGTATTCCAATTCCACTTGTTGCATTTCCACAGCCTGTCCCTGAATTTATTTTCTGACCTGCTGTTTGTATGAAAAAAGCTAAGGGAGAGTAGAGCATTAAAACTGTGTCCTCCATTTTAACAAAATGCAGGACAGTTGTGCCATTAGCACGGGCTGTATCCTCAAGCCATTGCATGAGACTTCTGATGCCAGGATGAGCATGCAGCATTGCTGTAATTGAGCCCATCACTGCATACACCTGAAAGACTTCAGTGTTCCTTTGGAACACCTCATATTGTCTTTACAGTGAGCGGCTTTCTGCTGCTGTTAATTAACGTGGTTTAAACCTCCTTGTCTGGCAAATAGAGCAGTGTGAATAGGGCTGGCTGCAGGTATTGGTAGATAATGCACTTTTTGTTTGTTGCTGCTGTTAGAGGTGAAAGGGACTTGTGACCCGTTCCCTTGAGAAAAGAAATAGTTTGCTAAGCCTGAAGTTATGGAGGCTTATTTAGCATTTGCTTAAAGCTGTGCCAGCCTCTGGCTGGGGCAGAGGTCTGGACCTTAGAGAAACATTTTACCTTGTAAAGAAAGGTCAGCATTAACTTCATGTGGCTTTCAATTAACAAACTTTTATTAATTGTACTCAGTATGTAAGTATGGGACAGTTGGCACTGCTACCCATGGTTGAAATTTTTCTTTAATGTTTTGGGAAAAATCTCATCCTTGTATGAGACTCAGTACATGTAGAAGCTGTGTGCTGCTTTATTATATTTTTATATGTATTGCTTATATATTTATATGCTTTATCATTTAAATTCTTAAAAAGCTTGTTTACATTGGTAAAGGTGTTTTTGAGGTAATAGCTGGCCAGTTCATGTCAGGAACATTGAGGTCTCTTTCATTCTGTTCTTTATGCCTCCTATATTAAAAAAGCACTGTTATACTAAAGTGAATGAGCTTTGTGCTGCATGGATTACAAGGTGCTAAAGGGCAAATGCATTGTCCAGTTCTGCCCTTTTGAATGTTCTTTAGGATAGTCCTCAGGTTCATAATTGTGTTCTATTAAATAACTTTTTGTTTGCTTGTTTAAAATAATTATGCTTTTATGTAGTGAGTGGATCATCAGACTAAACAATGAAAAAGAATGGACTTTTTTCATATTCAGCTCTTTTTCATGGGGTATTTGTGAGCCTATCTGTACAAGCTTAATCATGCCTTAACCTACTTTTTTGCATTCACTGTGAAATAAGGTTCATAGAGGCTTATGATTGCAACCTTTATTTTGAATCAAGGGGAAGAGGAAAACACACCTTGCAAATACTGCTTTGAGACAGTCAGATGGTGCGTTCTCCCTAGTTACACAGACCAAACCCTGTCTAGCTCTTGGCAGTGTGTATGACTGTACTAGCAAATTTAAGGATACAAAATAATCACTATTTCAGATGCCTGACCAGATTAGAATCACTTTCAAGATGCATTGTCACATTGTGAGCTGGTTAAAATGTTACCTGAGTACAGTAAGGAAAAGAGACCTGGATTACAAGCAGAATTCAAAATTCTCAGGTTGGTGATCATTCTTGCATCGGGGCTTTCTTGGAGAAGTGATTCCTGCAGCACTGAGTAATGGTGGTGAGTTCTGTCCCATTGAGAATATGAATGTGGGTCCTGGGATGGTTCCAGATTTTGAAGTCTTATCTCCTAGGACAGTAATTCCTATGTCTTCTTTCACCTAGGATGTCTCTTTTTCTGGGATGTTTCAGTGCAAGAAATAAAAGTCATCTGGAGAACTCAGTATTTATGTAGACCCTAAATGGGATTACCTGTGATTGGCCTGCCACCGTGGGGAATATTCCCGGATGATAGACAAGCAATGTTGTCCCAGGTAGCACAGAACAATCCTACTTCACTTGGCTGCTTCTAGACCTTCTTTTTCACCTTCATTCTTCCCTTTTTGATTTGCAAATGAGATGGGGATGAAGGTCAATAGGGCTTTTCTTAGTTTGTTATGGGCTTCTTTTCCTTCCCCTCTCAATGCATTCTTAAACTACTTCTGCATCCATACCCTGAAAAACTGTGAAAATTAAGTCAAAATACCCACTTGATCTTCTTCTGTTATGAAAAGAAGTGTTTGAAAAAATTTCTTGTATATGCATGGGACTTTTGTTCCACCTAAATTTCTTCCTGCCTCTCCAGAAAGGGGCAAATAAATTTGATGCTTGAAATTAATCTTTCCTGTTTTGCTAAATGGAAATTCAGCTTTTGCACTCACTCTCCAGTTAGTTAACACCTTAGGAAATGATGCCATTCTCACTAATGGATTGTTTATTTTGAATTATTCTCAAAGACACTCTGTCATTCTTGGATAGAAATGTTCTACATAGCAGTACATTTAGTGTGAAATACTTGACATTTTAAAATTTGTTTGAAAAGGGAAATGGATTAAAAAGTTAATCTGTTACAGTTATTTCCATGATGAAAAATGCAGGAGGTCTTGGGTTCCCATTTTCAGGTCAGGAGAAATTTTAACTTTTACAAATCAAAATAAAAGGGATTTCTACATAATGCATGAATGATGTATTTTGTTGTCCTTTCCTAACTTCTCTTTACTGCAGGTGCAGGAGAAGAAGGAATAGGCACATGGGGATGCTTGAAGGATTAATAAAATTGTAGAGAGACTTTTACTTCCACGGTAGATCCTCAGTTTGAATCCAGCAGAACCTGTCAGTTCTGAGCACCTGCTTGGTGCTCTTTTGGTCATCACCAGCTCTCTTTATCAGAAGTTGATGACACCACAATGAACATCAACTTGAGCTTAAGACAAATTGAAAAAATTGGTTAGTTTATGAAGATTCTTCATCTGAAGACCTAGTGAGTTTGTGATATAACCTGGGGAGAGAAGTATCTTTTAGGACTGAAGGGGCTGCTCAATTTCAGCGGCTGTGGAATACAATCCTTGCAATAAACTGAGACTATTTTAGGTCGAGTTAGGCTGAGTCTTTGTCCCCTTTGCTCCTTGGAAGGCTGCCTCAGATTTCTCTGATGGCCTTCTTTCCTGTCTGCTTTGGGATGATTTTCTAGACCCAGGAGCATCTCTGTCCTGCAGGGCAGACTTGGGACACATCACAACAGTTTGCACACGGTTTGAATAGCGCAGTCCAGTGTCAGTAGCAAATGCTCTGGTCACTTAAAAGCAGACTCTTGACCCTCTGTGATTAAAAATAATCTGTAAGTGACTCCAGTACTTGGAGTTCCCTTCTGCTTTAGAAAAGCAGAGGAAGAAAACGCATGTTTCTTGTTTTGTTTTGTTTTGAAAACATTATGCCTTTGTAATAGGTGTGACTTAGGAATTAGTTTTGAGTTGTTTGACCTCTGCTTAAATTCAAAATTAGAGTGTGGACATTTCTCAAAACAAAACCACCCAACAAAGAAAATGTTTAAGAAATCAGAAACCATTTAAGAAACCATTTGATGGATTTTAAATTTTATTTTTCTGCTTTGACAACTATTGTGTTAGGGATCATTTCAATTCTGTTTAGAAGAAGTTCAGTTCTAAAGGATAGTTGTAAGATAGCTTTGTGTTTCCCAGGGGTTGGGAATCATGCATCTAATTTTTCAAATGAATGACAAGACTTGGATGGAGTGTGTACTCTTGGAACAAAACTGTCTTGTTAAAAACCACTGTGTTTAGACAGCTTGCAGCAACAGGAGATTAAATTGCTGGATTTGCCTTTTACATAGTTTGATTGATGAGAAAACTCTGCTGCAGTATTCATTGTTTATCAAATGCCACTCGGCTAGCGGCACTAACAAAAACAAATATTTATTGGGTGCAAGATTAAAAAATGATATTGCAGAAATATGTGAGCAGTTTCTGTAAAGATTTCTATACCTCTAGGGGCAAAAAGTTAAGATGTGCTGAAACAATGATGTCAGGCACTGTGCAGCATAACCAGGGAGACATCAGGCACTGCCACCTTCACAGGGAAGAGGTTCTAGTTGGTGATCTCTTACTGAGGGACATTGCAGCTATAACCTGTATGTGTTTATAACATCAAATGCTTTCCCTAAGTGCCTTCTATTCCCCTCCTACTCCTTTCAAAAATAAAACAAGCCCGCGCCTTGATGGATGTTCTGTTGGTGTCACTCTTTGCATGTAGCTTGCTCTGTGAGAGGTTACACCTGTGCATTACAACTGATACCCACCCAGCTGCAGCACTTTTTTATCCACAAGAGGCAATGGAAGCTTATCCATACAATTATCTGCTTTAGGCACTTGAATGTGTTGTTTTGATTAGGGCGGTGCTGTGGGCTGTGTTATCGGAGTGAGTGGGAACCTGAAGTTGGCTTATCACAGTGGTAACCATTTGGGAAAAACATAGTTCTCATATGGTGACAAGCAAATTTGATATGCTGTCTATACCCCTATGTGCAGAAGAGGATTGGTTTTTAGTATTTTTGTGTATGTGCATAAGAGCAGACTTGGGATTCCATTTCCTCTGTAACTGCACACCATGAATAATTAACAGTTATTACCTGCTTATTTGCAGGGGATCCTCTGTGTGTTTGTAGTTTGGTTGTTTTTTTTTTTTTTTTTTTTTTTTTTTTTTAAGTTGCTTAGCTAAATATGGTGTTTGTAAGAAATCTCATATTAGCTATAGGTTAATGTAATGTGAAAGACATGCTGGGCAAACATCCCCCAGCCAGTCTGGAAACAGCTCTGATCTGTGAAGTGTTATCTTGGCTAGTTTAAATAATTTCCCAGGGAGTCAGTTTGAATGCTGTTCTTTTATTGGTTTATTATTTTTCAGAATGTAATTCTTAATACATTTGTATTCATGGCAATGGACAGTAAGTAATTTAACACCTGCTATCTACAATCTCTGTCAGCAAATGGCCTTCTCCTAGTGGGATTTATAGTTACATTGTCGCGTTTCAAAGGTGGAGAATTCAAATTCTGTTTGCTATGAGCAGAGTTATGTCTTGTATTTTCTTTCTCTCTGCCTTTTAGTCTGGCCTTAAACTAACACTGCTTCTTTTATTCCAAAACAGAGAGAAAACCTGATCCTTGAAGGGTTGCAATTATTTTATCCTGTCAAGGTGTTTTTTCTCTCTAAAATAGGAAAAGGTAGGAGTGTGGGGAAGAAAACTAAGCAAAAATTAACCCTTGTGCCACCTTACTTACAGTGAATATTTTGTAGGCTTATTGTCTACAATAAGACATTATTGTGTTGTCTTATTGATTTTTGAGGAAGAGCTTGTGTGGGGCAAAACTGAAGTGTGAAGATGTAATCCCTAGAGGTAAGGGCTGTATATGTGTGCCTGCACAGTTCCTATTGGTAGATCTGACTTAAGGTCTTTTGCATTGCCTTTCTGTTCTGTTACAACTTCCAGTTCTGGTTTAATTTAAAAATTGTAGAGAAAGTGTAAAATGAGAGGGGAGAATGAGTTTTTGTGTTTTGCTTGTTTGTTTTTGGGTTTCAGTTTGGGTATTTGGTTTTGGCTGTTTTTAAGAGATAAAGGTATCTCTTAATAGCTCTCATTTGCAATAAGTGAATGAAGCCTTTGTGACTGATTCATTTGGTTGTTTGGGGTTTTTTTTCCTATTTTTGTAGTACCTATTCTGTAGAAAGAGTACATCATGAGAGGATGGTAAGCTGCCTAAGGAGGAGCAGTTGTGCACAGTGCCTGGGTGGAACACTGGCCATACAGGAGGATTGCAACAGGTGGGATGTTTCTCACAGGAGCTGTGGATAAATTTGAGCTTGGGGAGAATAGATGCTTCTGCAGGAGACAGCCTGCAGCCTCACAGGAGCAGTTGGATGGAGCAGCTGAGGAGATGGGACTGAGCTGGGGAGTCAGGTCATGCATTGTTGTCAGATCTAGTGGGAAAAGAAGACTTTAAAAGACCTCAGAGAGCTGCATGTCAGCGGCATCCTGCATTCCATAAGTACACCAGAAAAGACTGGTTTGGATACTGGAGTCCCCCATCCCTTTTAACTGTGATCCTTTGGCAAGGTAGGCCATGGCAGGGAGTTGGTGTTACTTGTTATTTACAGAAGAAGGCTGTCCCACTAACAGGAAAGGACACTGATTTGGGAGCATGTCAGTCTAGCACTGCAGTGCACTAAAGCACACCTTTGCAAGATAAAACCAAACCAACTCCAAACAAACAAATTATTGGATGGTGTGTAAAATAAAGCCCCAGCTCTGCTTTATCTTTGTAGAAGCAAATACAGTTTATAGTTGCTTAAGTAGGGCTTTCTATTACCATATGCTGAATCTTGCAATTTCTCAGCCTTCCTGCTCAGCATCTGTGAATCTCAGTAGCAGAATCGTTGCTTGGAAACTCAATTGTCGTTTTGCATTTACTGCTAGAAAAGAGTTTTCAATTCTGGTAACTTGATTATCATGACTTGTACATAGATCTAAAACTCCTTAGCAAAGGCAGTTTCTTTACTGGCAGGATAAATACCACATATATTCAAGAAGTGCTTAACAGTGTTTTCAGCAGGGGTGAAGTTTTTCCAATGTGTTTGTATTGCTATTGAGATATAAAATAAGTTGCATGGAAATTAAGGTATTGTATATGTGCCAGCATCAATGTGCCATTTTGACTTCTTTTTTTTTTTTTCTTGTGGAGTAGAAAACCACCTCTGAGAGTATAGGTTGCCATCACCTGACTACAGGCTTCTTTGAGAAGTGTATTATGTACAGTTATTCACAGTTGGCAAGAAGATTTTTGTGGGGATTTTTGGTGGAAATGGAACACTTCATGAATTTGGTTTCTTAGGGATTCTTAATTCTGAGGGTTTGATTTGAAGGGAGTGAGAAGGAAACAGTGATCATTGCCTTGTTTTTTGCATTGCTTTTTCCTCCCTCCTCTCTATTGCCTGAAGTAACATGAATTTCACAAACCTTGTAGGATCAATACTTAAACTGCATACTACAGAGAAGGTGGGGAACATGGAATGACTTTCTTTGTTCTTAGTGTGGTTTGAGCAAAAAATAACAGCTGCAGTTGCCACCTTCAGTTGTGCTCAGGAACGTCAGCATCTGAAGGTGGCTTTACCAAAATGAAGAAAACTTACCAGGGCCTTTGATCTTATTGCCATGTAAATTTAAATATTGGATCTTAGGCTGTGTGCTCTAAAAAACATAGCAGGGTTATTTTTCACTCAGCATCCAGGAGTTATTGCAATGACTGAAAACTGAGGTAAATGCCAGAGTAGGCTGCATGAAGTGTTAGATCAATACTTGAAATTGGCACATGGAATGACAGCTTTGAAACTGATGTGCATGTGAGCGTGGTTGATACATGCATTGAGAGCCTTTTAAGAGACGCTTGGGGATTCATTTTGTTTAAAATGGAAGGCAAACAGTATTGATACAACACTCTGTACTACACTTTATGGTAAGTGGTACAAATGAAGGCTTCAAAGAGTATTTAAGTGCTTTATGCTATTTGTTATCCTCTAGAGTAGTATTAAAATCAGCATTCTAGGTTACAGAGCTTGTGGGATATGTTTTCCCTTAGGACAGAGAGGGATGGTAGCTTTTGTGGTTTGGCTGGTGCTTGGATTCTTTTTTTTTTTCCCCTATCTGCGTGGATTTTCATTAGCAATTAAATGTATCTGGACTTAAGAACATCTGTTTAACATGATATGAAGATAGGATTTCTTACATTTGTAACTTAAAGTTTGGGTATGCACTAGGAAGTTGCCATTTGATCAATATTTTCCCATCACATCTCTTGTAAAATTTAGTGACTTTGACTTTATTTTGTGCACCACGGAGTAGTCTGAAAGTGTGGGATGATATCAAGTATTTAATTATCCCAGGTGTGCCAGTGCAGTCAGCAGCCAGGCTATTTGCACTCCTGAGAAAGTGATTTGGCAGTGAACCGGAATTGTAAACAGTAAAAGGAGAAAAATGTGCTGTTTCAGTACTGTGCCATAAAGGGCTGTTCTTGTTTCCTTGAAGAATGTAACCACTGAAAAAGAATTAGAGCTCCCCAGTTAGAGTCAGCCCCTAGCTGAGGGCTAGGTTATTGTGTTCTGTTTGTAGCTTTGATGTTTCCAGCCAAGGAGGTAGAAGAGAGCAATGTCCTTTCCTTTCCTCCTTTTTAAATGTCTTTCTTTTTCTTTTTTTTTTTTTTTTTTTTTTTTTTTTTTTTTTTTTTTTTTTTTTTGAGGATCTGGGTTCTTCAATATTGGACCCTTAGGCTCTTTTACTACCATTTGAAGTTATTTATTGTCAAGTAGGTGATAGGACAACAGTTCTTGCAGAATGTTCTCACTAGCATTTTTTTCTTAAAATTGATCTGCTGGAGAAGATTTCTTAAGGGCATGTGTTCCCAAGCTCTTTCCCATATGAAAATTGTTGCTCTAACTTCTCACTGGACACTTGGAAATTAATTTTTATGACCCAGTGATGTGTATGTTTGCTATAGATCTTTTTGCTCTTTTAAAAATCACTTAAATAGTGGTCTGAAATTTTGCTTTGCCATAATACAAATTTTAAGATGATCTACCCTTTTCTGATACAGGTATTGCTGGAGTCGTTAATCCAGGTGTGGCCCCTGTTGTTTGTATGTGCTTAGCAGGCTGACCTAATGTCTGAGCATGGAGCTATGTCGAAATTGGTCTAAATGAGGTTAACTGGAAAGAAGGGAGCTGTTGTTGGCATGAAAGGTAGCCTACAGAGAGGTTGAAAGTGAAACTCCAACTTGCTGAGAAGTTCAAGCAGCAAACTGTGAAGTACATTAATTAAATGCTGGTAGTGAGCAGGTGGGGAGCCTATGTTCAAAAAGACAGGAAGTTGTTTGGCATTTTAAAGAAAATCTGAGTAAGACTTTAGGAAATAAATTACTGTTGTTTTTTTTTTTTTTTGCTTTGTTGTAGTAAAATTTAAAATAATAAAAAAAAAATTAAAATATCTCCTCCAACCCAGAGAGCTTTTATGCTCATCTAGAGTTTCCTAAATCTGAAATAGTCCCAGACTCCTGTTGTTGGCACAAGATGGGGAATGACAGTGCCACTTGACCACAGCAGAAGGGACATGCTTGGAGTCCTGGCTGAGAACAGTGTAAGTACAGCTGTAACTCTGT